TTAAGTTGGTGTGTGGTATTTTCAGTTGCTTTCATGTCAGTTTCAGCAAAACACTGCATACCTTAATTGGTTTCAGGTGGGTTTTAACCCATTACCAGATATATACGCCTTTCTACGCCTTTTTCACCCCCCCCCCCTTTTGCTTTCTCAAATGGTGAAAAAACGCCTTATTTAGGCCCCCAAACACTTGTTTTTGTTTGAGAAATGTTGTTTAAAAAAATTGACCACTTTTTCGGCGCGGCCCCCATCCAAAAGATAACATTCAGGGGTTGCCAGAAGGGGGGTGTGCCCCCTTCTGTTTGGGAGGTTTGAAGGGGGGCGGAGTCCCCTCCTCATCGCCAAGAAAATTTTGGACTTGTGGAGGCTAAAAAAATGGCCCCAGGTCAATCATAAGGTAACGTGTAACCAAATGCTGAAAAAGCCTTTGACTCTGTCTCAATCCATTGAGAAGTGGCAGCACTTTGAAATCAATTTTGATGGAAAAAAAAATCAACGCCAAAAATAGTGATTTTTTTGGCAATTTTGAAGATGTCCCCTTTAGTTGCCATGGTAACAGAAAATTTCAGACTGACCAAAGTTGTTAAAAGGCAATTTGGGGCCCATTTAAAAATTTGGCCCAAATTTTTATAAGTTTTTGAAGCAAATTTTTTTTTAAGGGTTTTAATTAAACAACTTTAAACTTGTAACCCGGGGACTTTTCAAAAGAAAAACCCATTTTTTTAAAAAAAAAAGCCCCATGGGGTAAAAGGGTTAAAGTTTTGTGTGGACTGTTGACATTTTCCCTCTGAAAAACTTTCTTCCATTTTAAATTAGATATTACCCAAAGCCCCGAAAAAGAACGAAATTTTTTTGTTTCTAAACCCTTTTTAATTTTTTTTTTGAATCAAAAACGGGGGGTTTGGGCTATTTTAAAAAGGGAATTGAGTGGGAAAAATGATATTCCCCTTTAAAATGACTTTATTGTGTTAAAATTTAAAAAAAAATATCGGGCACTTGTAAATTCTAACAAAGAGACTTAAAAATTTTATCCCATATTTATTTTCTTTACATTTTGGCAGATCGAGTATAATATGTGTCATGAAAGCCTTGGACTGCCATATAGAAACGCATGTTTTGAATTATTACGCGTCAATTTGACAATTATAATGTACATATTGAATCGTATAATTGTCACAGATTAAAATTATATGGTAATGGCAGCCGTGGCTTTCCATAGTTTTATTTAAGCGGAAACATCGTGCACGCGCGTTTTTATTCGGTTTCGTTTAGTTTTTATCGTATAAGTTTAACTTCCGGTATTGAATCGGTGAAAATCGACAATTTCCGTCAATGATGTACATTGTCGATCTCACCCGTGCAATATCGTGAACACTGGTCACTCTTTCTTTCTTGTAACTTATCCAAAAATTGTTGTGTTTGTTATGTATGATTCTAATGTGAGAGAGATATCCATTGTTCTTTTTAAAAATATTCTTTTACTTCTGCGCATGTTTGCTTTTGCCTGTCCCGCTCACATCTTGTACAGTCATCTCTTTACGAATGTCGGACGTTTTAGTATAACTAAATTTATTTAACATTTTGATTAACTTCTTACTTATATTTCAATTTATATTGAAATACTTTATATTAAGTAAAAGTAAAGTATAAGTAAGTCCAGATTAAAAAATTATATGGTAATGGCAGCCGTGGCTTCTTTTTAATAAGCGAAACAACATCGTGCATTTTTTTTTCGGTTTCGTTTAGTTTTTTTATCGTATAAGTTTAACTTCCGGGTATTGAATCGGTGAAAAATCGACAAATTTCCTGCATTGTCGACTGTTTCGTGAACACTGGGGGTCTTTTTTCTTTCCTTGTAACCTTGTCCCGCTCACTCTTTACCTTCTGCACACTGTTTTGGCATTTTCCTGTCCCGCTCACTCTTTACAAGTCAATCTCTTACGAGTCGGACGTTTAGTATAACTAGTTAAAATTTATTTAAACATTTGATCTACTTCTTACTTTATATTTCAATTTATAATTGAAATACTTTATATAAGTAAAGATCTTTAATTCTTCGTTATAACAGACGCTGTGGTAAGAAATAGTATTAAGATTAACATATTGATTGTAATCTTATTTATGTATTTTTGTATTTTCTTATTCCGCGTCGATTGTGTATATATATTGTTATTTCAATGTAGTTTGTTTTTATATGTATTGTACTTGTAAGATGTATAATTATTAATCTATTATATTTTTAGACCATTTTTATTGGATTCATTAAAAACATCGAACCTACGCCCAGAGTTTGTTTCTGTTCCACAAGAAATATTTGACCCTGTGACATAATATATACTGCATCTTAATGATACGACAGTACTAGTATATATTGTGGAGTACCTTAATAGTGTTTCATTGCCAACATGAAAACAAGTTAAATACATGTATGGCTTTTACTTTTAACAAACCCTATATATTTCGACTGTTTATTTTAAAAATATTTATTACATGCTTTTCTGTGGTTTATAGAAATATATCAGTGATATAAAACTGGTAATTTCACTGTTTGAAACAGTGAAATTACCACTTTGATAATTTCACTGTTTTGAATTTAATCCCCTTCCGTTGTTTCAGTGAAATACCAGCGTGCACAGTACTGGGTACCAACTTAATGACGTGACGTCGTAAATGACGTCACGTTGTATTATTATTTGGCGCGCTTTTCATTCACTATAAGGTTTAATGCCTTTTTAAAACGTTTCTTTGCATGTAATAAAAAGAAAATTTGTTTAGTTTAGTGAAAGATCAAAATATTTCACCTTGTGAACACCAAAAGTTCATATTTCACTCGTGGCTGCGCCACTCGTGAAATATACCTTTTGGTGCTCACTCGGTGAAATATATTCCGATCTTACACTGAACTAAACAAATATCCTCTATTTATTTGTTGTATGCGTCTTCTTTTTTCCCGCTTTTCTAAGTGGCTTTATTGACCCGCCGTCTGTCTACGTCATCGTGAGGGATAGTATTGTTAAATTAAGAAATAATATATCCCAAACTGTGATTTTATCGCTCAATAACATCACTGTTTGGAGTTCGGATGCGAGGAATTATATCACGAGGGCGTAGCCCGAGTGATATAATGATGCGCATCCGAACGACAAACAGTGATGTAATCCAGCGATAAAATCACCGATTTGGATATATTATTTCGATTCTAACACGACATAAACAAAAAAATGCTGCCGTACCTGCTATTAAGCAAAATTGCCCCTGATTTGTTTCCGTACTTATTGTCAGCGCGTTGGATTTTATAGTGGTTACATCACATGTATAATGAATACGTCACATGTCTAAATATAGAACGTCAAACAGTGACTCTATTGCACACACACTTTCGGTTCTTCTATGTTCAAAAGGGAAAAATGCGGGTCGTGTTAGAATTTTTGATTTTATATACCGATTTCATATACCATGTTGAAAAACGATTTTTTTTACAAACATTTGGAGGCAAGCTCCTTTAAAAATCACTTTACGTAGAGCACCCTAACGATAAAGTGACGTCGCTAAAGGAAAATAATCTGCGTTTCAGGCAACAGTCTAAAAGAGTGGCGTTTTCTTTTTAAACAGAAAATACTTTTGTTCAACTTTAATAGTCGAGTGGTTTATCGCCTGTCTAAACTCACTTAAATAAGAGAGGATGCGTTTATTTTTTTTAACAACATTTACATTACCAATAAAAAATGAACACTTTTAATACATAAAACAGCAGATTTTACGTTTATGGAAGTTGAATGAGCGTTTGTGGTGTATTTTGTTTGATAGATTCCTAACTTTAGATAGATACCTAACTACAAATGAAGTTAAAACTACCTAGTCCATATTTGTTATAAAAGCCGATTGGAGAATATAAACAGGAAGTTTGTGAAATGTAAACATAAAATCGTAAACAACACGGAAGTTTTAAAACGAGAATTTACCTTGATCACAGATGAGATAATACCGTCGAAGTTTTTTTTGTTATAATATGGTTTAACAAATAGATGGATGATTTTCGTACAATAATTGAGCCGCGTCACGACAAAACCAACATAATGGGTTTGCGACCAGCATGGATCCAGACCAGCCTGCGCATCCGCGCAGTCTGATCAGGATCCATGCTGTTCGCTAACAACTCTATAACAAGTAGCAAAACTGATAGCGAACAGCATGGATCCTGATCAAACTGCGCGGATGCGCAGGCTGGTCTGGATCTATGCTGGTCCCAAACCCATTATGTTGGTTTTGTCATGACGCGGCTTAGTTCATTTTTGGCAGACGTTTGACGAGAAATTGGCAGAGTTTATTTAAATATTATAAACTGTTAAATACCTGTGGTTTTGTGGTGATATATTAAACGATTAGTTTGGAGGAAACATCTGATTGTTTAATGAATAGAAGGCACAATTAGTAATTGTTGTTATAACTTAAAAAAAAAACTTAAATAAAAATTTGAACGTCTACCTTAACGTATTTAACGTTTCATAATGTAAAACGTTTACTTAATGTAAAAGGTAAAGGTCTTGTTTATTATAATGTCACCCCTTCTGAAAGGGCCAGTCATTTCTGACTTATGAGACAATTTTTGCTTGCATACCATGTACCTCCCAACTCCTACCACCATGCCAGGCGCCATTTTAACTACCTCGCGGCTAACGAAGCGGACTTTTCGGAACGAAATGTATGTCAATAGGTAATTGAAAAGGTTGTTATATTTAATTTATATTGCATAAGCTTTGTCCTATTTAATACTTTCATAAACAGTTTCATAATCAGTTAACAAAAAGCTGTATAATGTAAGACGATGAATTTGCCCAGATTATGTAGTGTGAAGATGGGATACAAATATTCTCTAATAACAGTTCCACCGCAACATAAACCACCTGGCCACAGAGGTCCCTAAGTCTGGTCTTTAATTAAAAATAGCTCCTAAATGGTATAATAAACCAATTTGATACAAACAAAATAAAACAAACAACCTGTCTAAAAATTAGACATTTTATTCATAAAATCACATAACAAATTACACAGCTTACACAAATTGTTGTGGAGGAGTAAACTACAAGACGTGGTACTAAAAGCAACAATTTGCCTCTCTTTTACTAGCCACTATGTATAAAGCTGCACATAAGATAAGTAAATCTCTTTTAATAAGGTATGACAAAAGATGAAGTTTCAAGAGAAAAAAAATCTAGAATTAAGATTTAAAACAATTGTCGATATTAAATCTCCAGAAATGAATTTTGACCTAGTATCCTGAGCTAGCAGCAAGGATAGAATTATTGAGAAGATTTTCAAAATTTTCATATTTCTGATTAAAGAAAGTGTCCATGTTTGTTTTGTTATGTTTCACTGATTAACCTACATAAACCTATTATTTTAACCTATAGTGATCAACAATTTTGAGATTTTAAAATTCTGTAACTTTAATAATTGTATTATGATCTGATCAAAAGATGAAGAAGAAATTTACAATTATGACATGTGAAAACCCAATAATATGACATGTGAAAACCCAATAATATGACATGTGAAAACCCAATAATATGACATGTGAATTACCAATAATATGACATGTGAAACACATTAATGTGACAGGTGATAAACCAAAAGATTTTTTTTATCCTAACTTATGGTACAACCAAATTTTAAGATCTCAATAACAAAATGGAGATTACTTTAATGAAGACATTTAACATGAAGTAGGCTCTGAATCCATTGAGACATACATGTATATAAAATGAAATGATGTATTGATATCTACAAAAATAATTATGTGACAATGTCATGTGAAAACCTACAATATACGTATGATATTATATACACACTAATGTCAGAGATCATTGTCCTATTTATACATATTGTAAAATGCAATATATACTAATTTGGCTATTTACTTATGAATGAAATAGAAGGAATCTACTGTGAATTATCAGAGAAACAAAACTTGTATCACTTTCTCATCCAAGATATCTATAATTTTCACCATGTAATACAAGTATAAAAGGAATATGTTGCACACTAGTGTCATGAATTACTAATATTATATTAAGTCAATATAAACTTTTTTAGTATCATGATATTTTCCATATCAACTCAAAACAGACAGTGACCTATATTTTATACTGACTCACAAAACAAACTGTTTACACAAAAGGAACAAAAATCCTTTACACAAGAGTGTAACGTTGAAACCCACTTGAGAGTTCCTCTTTTTTAACCATACAAAATTATCAAAAAGAGTATTTGACTAGCTTTGTACACATGTAACTTACATTTGTTATGATAAAAGTATGAGGAATGAAAAAATATACATAAATGTTTAAAATAAAACACAAAAACTCCAAACAAATCATGTTTTATCAGTTTTCAAAAACACAAATTGTGAAGCTGCGTAGTTATGCTTATAAATGATGATCATAACTTTATATTGCAATGTTATTTTTTATCTTTTACACAAATGCTTATCAAAGCAATAAGAATTTTGATAATATACTGTCTTTAAAATGTTGTAAATCTAAGTTTCCACATCTCATTGAAATTAAAAAAAGAAAAGAAAAAAAAAGAAAATCCATATACATTCAAAACTAAAGAAATCTATATATTATCTATAATCTTAAGATACTCAGTAGATATTTAACATTTTGTTGGCTTGTGACAATAATTGACCTATACCACTGACCTCATGACCTTTGCCACAGTTATAGAATCTTCCCATTATGCACACTAGTTCAGTGTGATCAGCCTATATACTGTTGCCTACAGTACTCAATTTGCGTATTTTGATTTTTAAACCATGTAAAAAGATTAACAAGGACTGCAAAAGTAATCAATGGATAGTACTTTATACAGTGTTATATCAATGACCATTTTAGCAAAAGGAATTTAACCACAGTTTAAATTTAAATCTTGCCTGATATGTTACATATAGCACTTCAGTACATTTGAGATAAGCACTAACAATAAAAAAAAATTATTAAATAACTGCAATACTTTTATACAAATGCCATTTTTAACACTTTCAGATGACTTAAAATGCTTCCAAGACAAAGATATATACAGATGACATGTCTTGAAAAAAATGATTTTTTAAAGCCATAAGAAAACTCTACAGAAAATAAAGAGAAATCTACAAAAACAAAAAACCATAGAAATATGTTACATTAACAAAGAAATAGTTCTACGTAATAAAAATTTTAAAAACTTAATGCTAAAATTTCAACCTCTGTGTATATATATACAATAATTATGCAAACATTATACATGATTCATAAACTAGAAATTAGCAAACAAGAACACTATAAATATGTTAAATTTTTGTAACAGTAATCATACTTTCTACTTCCTATACTCAAGGTATTTTTTCATTGTATATCATTTTATATACTTAACACAAATTTTCCTTTTTTCTTCTTCCCTATAAGTTCTACTTCCAGACACAAGGTGCCTTTACATCTTATATCATTTTATATACTTATTACTTAACACATATTTTCCTTTATTCTTCCTCCCTATACTTTTCCTTAACAAACTTCCTAGTGATATTGAAATATGGTCCTTCAACTGTTAAAGGTAGTTCATTCACATTTAATTTATAGGCAAAAATAAGGTTATACTTTATAGATATATCAAACTTGCCAGTTAAAACATTTATTTTCCTTCCTTATATATATTCTAAGTACATGTACTTGTTTTACTTAAAAGTTTGTATAAATTTGTACAAGTAAGTATACATAACTTATTTAACTAAATCAATATCAGCTCAAGTGTTTTTTCTGTATCTCTATGTACAATTAAATCTTAAAAATCATCAAAAATCTTTACCAAAATTTATTTACAACAAATATACAATTTAATACTTCCTCCAAATTCTCATAAATGTTTCAAACTTTAACAAATTTTTTTTAAAAATACCATTCTGTTCCATGTGAAAAATTGATAATCTACATGTTTTCTATCTCTAATTTTACATAAATGGCAATTTTGTACAAGTAAATCTATTTGGCAGCCTCCATAAAACCCATCACAGTATAGATCCAGTTAATCACATACATCGATGAAGTGTTTGTTCATCACTGCACATTATAATATCTATAAATCAACATCTTGAAATGTTTTTTATTCAACATCTTGAGATGTTTTTTTTTTTTCCAGAAAAGACTGGTTTAAGAATATTAGGTCCAATTATTTTTATCTCAATAGGCTTGTATTACTGGTGGCGACATATGGTATCTTGCCATTGAGCCGTTAGCTGCACTTTGTAAACTATTCCAAAGTCTGTTCCAGATCTCAACTTCGATACTGCCTTTTAAACTTTCTGCTAGTTTAAGACAAGTGCTTCCATCAAAGGCTTGAGTTTTCACAACGTTTTTCACTTTGTCTGGGTGAACACTTCTAAGAATAGTATCAACAAGTTCGAGATTTTTCTGCTCTATTGCGTACATTAATGGCGTCTTACCACTCTTCTTGTCCTGCAAGAATTATAAAATGTAACAAGTTGTAATATTTATTATATAATACAAAATAATTGTATAATCAGATTAAGTGATTTTAACAAGGTAGTATTCATTCAAATTAAGAATATGACTCACAGAAAAAAACTGTTTACAAACTTGTGTGATTCAGAATGACAATTGCCATGTATTACCACTTCATTAATAGTTGTATTACATTTCCATATACATAATTTACATATATTGTCTTAAATCTAATATTCACAGTAAAACACTTGCCATAGGCTTACAAAAGGCTTTTTCTAGACTGAAACTTAGATCTGAGGTTGGTCAGAAATCATCACACAGAATGTATATCCTGAGATTTGAGACAGAATTCTTTTTATTATCTCCAGCCGATAACTTAAAGTCTAAACTCTGAGCTTAAAACAACCTTCAAAGCTGACTGGAATTAATGTACTTACAACAAGTTATTTAAGATATAACAGAAAGTAAATAAATGTAATGTACATTTCTGCAAATAATCTTAAAACATTCTTTACATGTTTTTTGTTGTTTTTTTTTTGTAAAAATGTATCTCATATTATAAACAGGTCCTCATAATATGAGCCCATCATGACAAAACCAACATAATGGGTTTGCGACCAGCATGGATCCAGACCAGCTGGCACATTCACGCAGGATCCATGCTGTTCGCTATCAGTTTCTCTACTTATAATAGAGTTGGTAAGCGAACAGCATGGATCCTGATTAGACTGCGCGGATTGCGTGGATCCATGCTGGTCGCAAACCCATTATCTTGGTTTTGTCGTGACGCGGCTCATATGTTTATCCATCATAGCACACAATCAATGTAATTACCTGTGCTGATGGATCAGCTCCATGTTTGATGAGTGTTTGTATAATTGCCACACTGTCTATTCTGTCCTGACCATTTCTTTTTGGTTTACCGTGGGCAAGAATTGCACAGTGGAGAGCTGTCTGACCTGAAAATGATTAAACATTTTACTCCATGTACCTGCACTTTCAGGAGAATATTCAAAGATATTTCTTTTGTTTTGGGTTATGTTAAGTGCCTGATTATAACAGTGGTTCATTAACAAATCAATGAATAGTTACCTATTAAGCTGATTTGACTCAGAACCAAGACAAACCAGTAGTTACTGCCAGCTAACACATTAACTTATCATATGCTTAAATTCATGACTGGCTCCCTACCTCAAAACAAAATGCAGCAAATGACTTGTTGTCAGACTGGTTCTTAAATTTAATTTGCAAAAGCTAGAATCAGTCTACAACAATGCTAAATTTGAAACTACAATGTCTTAGAGATAAGTTACATGGACACAAAGCTTTGCCAGTCTACACAGACTACAGTCGTGTATATACTGATGGCTAACTTACTACATATGTGTACCTTTTTATCATTAAAATATCCCTTAAAATTGATAATGAACTGTCTAAAAATAAAAGTTTGAAGGGTCCATTCAGAAAAATCAGCAGTTTAAAGGTTAAGGCAACTTACCATAATTGTTAACAATATTTATTTGAATGTCCTTGGCCTTCAGAAGTTCTGTTAACGTCCTGAGGTAATCTGCACCTTGTGAAGCGGCCACATGTATGGCAGACTTGACTTCTGTTGTTGCGCCATCACTTGATAAATTCTGTTAAACATTAAAATAATCAAGAATGACCTTTATTTTAAACTACAAATGAAATGATACATAAAATGTAATAAAAAATGTCTTTGTGGTCATGGAGTAAAACCTATTTTTATTAATCAATATTTCAATACCTATTTTAATCTTATTGACTTGCAGTCAGTACCTACATTTTTTCAAGTTAATAATTATTTTGATTTACACAAAAATTGGTAAGTAGGCCAGGTGATATGAAAATATAAAAATATCCCTCACGTGTACTGAAAAAAACTTGTCAACAAGAAAATTTTTTTTTTTGAAAATGTTCAAATACCAGGTAATAAAACAAGATTGCATTTGAGAAAAATGCTATGCCACCGCATGGTTCAAATTTCATAGCTGTACATCAAAGGACAAGAAAGTAGGTCACATCATCAAAATCTAGGTCACCTGATATCAAAGTTCAATTTTACAACTAAAACTGTGCACGTGGTCAAAATGTCATTGCTGTACATCAAAGGACAAGAAAGTAGGTCACTGTCCCCTTGGGCAAGGCATAATTTTGACCCAAGGGTTTAATTCAAAACAATTTTGATACAGGTCCACCAAATAACATTTCAAGTCAAATATCTAAGCTATAGCTTTCTCCCATTCAGAAAACATTTGTTTTATTTTCTGTTTTTACTATGTGTACATAATGAGAATCACTGCCCCCGGGCAGGGCCAATTTTGACACCAGGGGAAAATTTTGAACAACTTTGGTAGAGGACCTATAAATGATATTATATATCAAACATCAAAGCTCTATGCCTTGTACTTTCAGACAAAAATATTTTTCATTTTTTCACTATATGTACATAATGAAAATCAATGACCCCAGGGGTGGGGCCAATTTTGACCCCAGGGCTATAATTTGAACAATCTTGCAAGAGGTTCACTACACAATGTTTCATGCAAAATATCTTAACTCTAGCCTTTGTAAATTTAGAGAAGATGATTTTTTAAGTTTTTTACTATATACATATAAGGAAAACCTATGGCCACCGGGGCGGAGCTAATTTTGACACAAGAGGCAAAATTTGAATAACTTTTGTAGAGTACCTTTAGATGATATTATTTAACAAATATTAAAGCTCTAAGCCTTGTACCTTCAGACAATAAGATTTATTTATTTTTTACTATATGTATATATTGAAATCAATGACCCCAAGGGTGGGGCAATTTTGACCCCAGGGCTATAATTTGAACAATCTTGCTAGAGGTTTACTACACAATGTTTCAAGCAAAATATCTAACCTCTAGCATTTGTCAATTGCTAGAAGAATTTTTTTTGAAGTTTTTACTATAAGTTTTTACTATATACATATAAGGAAAACCAATGACCTCCGGGCGGGGCCGATTTTGACCCCAGGGCTATGATTTGAACAATCTGGGTAGAGGTTTACCAGACAATGTTAATGCAAAATATATAAGCTCTAGGCCTTTTGGTCTTTACAAGAAGGTGTTTTAAGTTTTTACTATATGTACATATAGTGAAAATCAATGACCCCGGGGCGGGGCCGATTTTGACCCAAGGGCTATAATTTGAACAATCTTGGTAAGGGTCTACCAGACGATGCCTTATGCAAAATATCTAAGCTCTAGGCCTTTTGGGTTTTTACAAGAAGATTTTTTAAATTTATTCTTATAATTCCTTTTGGTTGCCATGGCAACCAGATTTCTGCATGGAATGAAATTCTTTGAACAACTTTGGAAGCCCTTCACCCAAGGAACAATCCTGCCAAGTTTGGTTGAAATTGGACTAGTGGTTTTTCACAAGAAGATTTTTTAAGTTCACTATATAATCTATATAACACACACACAAACACACACACAAACACACACACACACAGGTGAATCGCTATATGCCACCGCATCGCAGATGCTGCGGTGGCATAAAAAGGGGAAAATTACATTTTTTCCTTTACTATCTTTCATATCATATGACAAAATAAGTCAGTTATATCTATAGCCAGGTCATTATACCATTGAAAATAAAAATATTTTATCTGAAATGTAAAGTGTTTTATAAATACACCAGGAAGTTTTTAGATCCCCGATATTTAAAATTTTACAAGTATGCAAATTAAGGTTGTCAATAATGACACCTGTCTGACAAACAACTTCCAAAATTTAAATGTCATTGTTAACTTAACATTGAAATAACTGAAAATGTTGGGTGATTCCCCAAATTTACATGATTTTGATATTTGTATTTAATGATATTATTAAGGTCATATGGCAACTTTCCAGCTCAAGTGGTGGAGGAAGACCTAAGGTGCCTCTCTGCTCATTAATTCAGGCATCTAACTAGAACCACCAACCTTCTGTAATGAAGTTTAATAGCTCTCTCACTTGAACTCACAACGTTAAAAGGGCAAGTGTTAGAAGTTAGCAACCCACAGAAGACCCACATGATTTTTAACTAAAGATAAATTGCACAAATCTGACTTAAACATGCTTTAAACCATATCATGATGGATATTTTTTATTGATCAGTTAATAGTATAAAGCCTGGTCATACTTCATGAATGTGCAGGATCGCCTGGCTGTATATTGCTGAACCAGGGTAATCACATATGGTTGCAACTGGTTAATGGTAAATTTCTGTATTTTGACACTGAAATCCCTACAACTTCAAATGGATTGTTCCAAACTTAAACCAGGGCAAATCCATTTTACATATACAGCAGGTTAAATGTAAATTTTGATAGAGTTTTACCTGTGCAAGAACGTTCACATTGGCTTGAAATTTTATGAACATGGCCACCATGACAAATTGGTTGATAAAAACAGCCAAGTATAGCGGTGTCTGGCGTTTTAAATTCTCCTGATCCACCAGGTTCTCAAGCTTCTCTCGGTGCAGACGCTCAAGTAAGGCTTGAACCATGTGTCTGTCCGTCTTGCATACTGCAATGTGGAGGTACCTGAAATATATAGTCACCTGTAGAACAAATATTCTTACCATAAATTATATTCAGACAATTTAAATGTGTGTTTGGTAAAGTCATCACAGGGGATTCTTAAAACATTCACACATAAAGAGAGTATTTTAACACACTTGTATGCAAATTCAATTAAGATATCCACATTGTTAAAATTTAAAGAAATTTCTTTAAAAACATAGAATTTGCTAATAATTGTAATTTTGCTCTAGAATAAGGGCAACAGTAAACATAACCCAAGTCTTATAAATTAGCACTGTGGAACAAAATTTATGTATGATCTTTTTAATACAGCATAAGCAATTTCAAGAGATGGGAGTAGAATGGGGCAGTGGAGTTGGGGTTGGAAGCCACTATTAAGTTAAAATAAAGATTATAGGGTGTTCACTAGACATGAAATCCTAAGGGTCACTTTGATTAAGTTTTACCGACTACAAGGTCAAATCCCCATGATTTAAACAAAATTTAACAAATTCTCCAGTTAAAACCCTGAGGATCAAATCAGGCCTTTTGGAAATTTGAAGGGTCAAAGAGTAATTTCAAGGGTCAAACGGACATCCTGACAATGTCTTTATGGGACACACTATCTAAGTTTTTTTAAAAATAGATTCAGCAAAATCATTGCCTTAAAACAGGACTGCTACCTTTAATTTGTTTTATCAAAATACCATTCCGAAAGAATCTCATTGAATCAGCGACCTGTTGAATTTTTATCCCCATTAGTTAACAGTTTACACAAATGTACTAATTCAAACATGCTCATAAATAGACTTATCACTGCTGTACTTATAAAAATATATAAAAGTTCTTCTATTTTTTAAATTATCCATTGTTTATTTAATGAATGAATGCCCTTTGTTTTTCTATAGTTTCAATATGAAACAATATAAAGTCAGGTTAGACTGTATTTACTCCTATAAAAGGCTAGAAATCAGAGTATAAATACATACGTGTCACCCTCATCATCAGATTTTCTGAGATCTTCCCGAGGAATGTCCGCCACTGTGCGTCTAGCGATCATCAGCAATTTATTTTGTTGATTTGACATAGCTGTAAATATGATGTAGACATAGCTGTTAACATGATTTACACAAACTTTATCATTAAAATGCAAGGAAATTATTAAAAAATAAAAAATAAGCTTCTAATTAAAACATTTTAAGCCTTGTAATGTTGTTTCACACATTTTAGACTTCAGATTTTAATACACACACACATTAGACTTTTTTTTTTAGAAAATTGTACACAAGAACCAACTGTAAACAAGGAACATCGCAATGCGATGCAACCAGGTTTTCAGCAAAATATTTCACGGAAGCTTTGTCATGAAGGGGCATTTGTTTTTAATTGAACTTTTAGGAGGAATTATGGCTTTTTTAATATTCCTCAAACAAAAATGATTGAGAAATTTTATGTTGTCTATTCGCCTTTTTTTCCCAAATATTTTAGAAAGGTTACAACAGTACTTTATTTTTGCTTAATTTTTGCATTTTTGCGTCTCTTGTCATTTTCTCGTCTCTTGTCATTTTCTTTCGTCAACAATATTGGCGTGTGGTGTTTTGTGCGATATCAAGAAAAGTATGTTCACAATTTTAAAAAAATACTTGAATGATGTCTTGGAAGAAACATGGGAATTTAGTGAGCGCCAGGGCACTTGATGACAAAGCTTCTGTGAAAGTTTGGTCAAAATCCATTGAGAAATGTAGGAGAAGTTGCGCACTGTAGAAATTGTTCACTATATATTCTGTATAAGGAAAAAATATACAAAGGGCAATAATTCGGTCAAAATTTCCAATCACAAAACCCCGACAATATGTGCCAGGCACTTGATAACAAAGCTTCTAAGAAAGTTTGGTCAAAATCCGTTGAGAAATGTAGGAGGAGTTGAGCACAGAAGAAATTGTTCTCTATATATTCTGTATAAGGAAAAATATACAAAGGGCCATAATTCAGTCAAATATTATCAAATCACAAAACCCCGACAATATGTGCCAGGCACTTGATAACAAAGCTTCTAAGAAAGTTTGGTCAAAATCCGTTGAGAAATGTAGGAGGAGTTGCGCACAGAAGAAATTGTTCACTATATATTCTATATAAGGAAAAAAAACAAAGGGCCATAATTAGGTCAAATATATACCAATTGCAAAACCCTGGCAATATGTGACAGGGCACTTGATGACAAAGCTTCTGAGAAAGTTAGGTCAAAATCTGTTGAGAAATGTAGGAGGAGTTGCGCACAGAAGAAATTGTTCACTATATATTTTATATAAGGAAAATAAACAAAGGGCCATAATTAGGTCAAATATTATCTAATCGCAAAACCCCGACAATATGCGCCAGGGCACTTGATGACAAAGCTTCTGTGAAAGTTTGGTCAAATTCCGTTGAGAAATGTAGGAGGAGTTGCGCACAGAAGAAATTGTTTACGCCCGCCCGCCCATCCGCCCGCCTGCCGACATACCTCAATCTAATAACCAGTTTTTTCCTTCGGAAAACCTGGTTAAAAAGGCAAAATTACTCTTATTTCATCAAGAACAGGTGTTTTCAGAACCTTTTTTACAAGTCACAAACTATTTTTATTATTGATTATTAAAATCATAACTATCCCTGAATAGAGTTACAACAGAATTGCTACACAGCTATCATGCAACTTAACATAAGAAAAGTGTATCTTTTGATAAAAATCTAAATTAAAATGAGCCGCGCCATGGCAAAAGCAACATAATGCGTTTGCGACCAGCATGGATCCAGACCAGCCTGCGCTTTCGCGCAGTCTGATCAGGATCCATGCTGTTCGCTTACAAACCCTATAACAAGTAGAGAAACTGATAGCGAACAGCATGGATCCTGATCAGACTGCGCGGATGCATCAGACTGCGCGGATGCGCAGGCTGGTCTGGATCAATGCTGGTCGCAAACCCATTATGTTGGTTTTGTCATGACGTGGCTCATTAATATACTTTTGTGATAAATGTGAAACAAGAACTTTGCTATACCTTGCTGGCTCTGTTGGTTTCTGTTCTGCATGCCAGCATTGGGTGTTTTGGCAACTGAAGTTTGTCCACTCTTTGACATGTTTGAGCCTGGTGATGATGAACTGGTTGGTGAAATCTTTGGCAGAATCTTTTTATACTGAGTCCCAGTTTTCTTTGGTGGTGCTGGGCTGGTCTGACACACAGGAACCAGTATCACTGGTTGGTTGGTGGTTTGTTGCTGCGGGGGAAGGATGATAATTTGTTGAGGAGCACTGGTTACGGGTATGATACCTTGGTTTGGCAACATTGCAGGATTCTGTATTTGTGGTATCCTAACTGTCTGTGGCACCATTCCTGACTGTGGTACCATTCCTTGAGGAAGTGATGTGTTGATCATGGTTGGTTGGTTAATATTAGTCCTGTTTGGCATCATAACTGGAACTGGTGGTTGTGATGATGAAGATAATTGTCTCTTCTTTTTATGCTCTTCTGAGATCATGTCAGCATTAATTACAGCCAATGCATCTTCTAGTAAAGCTTCATTAAAAAAGTCACCAGTATCTTCAACCTGTGGCTGACCTGGGCTTCCATACCCGGATGTGTTGGCCGGGGACGGTGTTGCCCTGTAGTTTCCTGGAGATGTGACACCGTGGTATTTTGGAGGTGACATGCCGTGTTGAAACTGGCTTTCATGCATCGGACTGTGTCCAACACCACTTTCAACTGAGGGTGGTGATGTGTATACCGAGCTACTTGGACTTGGAGCCTGCTCTGACCATGGGCTTCCACTTTCTGAATCAATACCACTATCTGGGTCAGATATTCTTCGCATTTCTTTAAAGCTTTTTCCTTCAAAGTTATTCACTCCAGTTTCCCATGTTGTGTTACTACCAAGTTGTCCGTTAGTAAAGTTTGGCAAGTTTCCTTGATTGACCGATGACATTTTTTGTTGCTCTGCAATTTCTTCCAACAACTCGTCGGCAAAGTTTGCCTGTGGGAAAGGATTCTGTACATTGGAGACTGGTGACTGAACAGTGACTTTTCCACCTGACATGTTGCTTGTACTTCTTACATCAGTTGTTGTCACTTCTCCAAATGGAAATCCTTGATTACCGGCACTACCAAAGTTAAACATTTGCGGATTCATCATTCTTTGGTTGAGATCATTTTGCGCAAAATTTGGTTGAAATTGTGGTGCTGTTCCATACTGTTGGAGAAAAGCTGTTGGCTCTTGAATTCCATGAATGCCAGGCATGTTTCCATATTGGAAATTCATCGGAGGTCTAAAAAATTTCTGTGGTTGGTCTTCAGCTTCATCCAATGTTCTTCTGTTTCCTTTCATTTGAGGTTGTTGATATACCATCTGTGGAGGCATATAATTGCCTGTTGGTCCTATGGGAAGTGTTTTATCTATCAGTAAGGCATGTTGCTGTGACGGAATACCCCCAGTTGGTCCTCTTTTGATATATTCATCAACAGAAGATACGCTGTCATTTTTTTCATCATGACCATCTTCATTCTCAATGTTAAGTTTTCCAAGCCCTTCAGAAAGGAAATTCAGTTCCTTTTGCTCACTATTATCTTCATTTTCACATGTCTTTGTAATGTCACTTTCTGCATTCTCTTCCTCTGTGGTTACTGAAAATCATCAACACAAAACTTATAATAGAGTATTAGAATCGGATTTAGCTCAATACAGGATTGGAGCAGTACCTCTGGACGCTTGCAGAAATCATGATCACAAAATAGACAAATATCGTATTTTTTTGCCGATTATTGCATTTATCATGCATTTACATACAAAATTCGGTGTGAAAAGATGAATTTGTCCTTTTAAAGTTCATACCGTTGGACAAAATGGCAATATTTTAGCATTTTATCATTAGCCATTAGAATCTACCTTATGCTCTATAGACATGTGCTCATCACTTAATTATCATTTATGCATATCATATCATAAAATTAAGCGGAGACATATATTGTGGAATTCAGTATTATAAAATAGGCCATTTAAATAAGCCCTCCAGATAATCAATGCCTATCATCAGTTATATTTGAAAGACCCTGCTATCTAAAAGATATGCCAACCTAGATAAGTACTACACTTCATGCATTGGGTCTTGCATTAATTAAGGCCTGTCAACATAATAAGCAATGACTACTGTACAGTATGGGCACTGTATAGATCTATCAACTACCAACTTGCTTTCTTACTGTTAGGGGATGATAATCATTTTGCCTAGTGTACTGTAACTCATCAAGATTTTGCTGAAAATTTCATGTTGAGATCTATCTGATAACAAAACAATTTTCTACACGATTCATCAAATTATTACTTCTTGTAAATTATTTTCACAAGAAAAACAGCTATGTTGTGTAGTACTGAATAGCCAAAATGACGCATGCACAAAATGTTACATGGCGAGGTCATTTATCTTGTCATAAAAACCATAAACATGTCTGGCCGGCCAGACAAATATGTAAAAACATTGCATGTTTTGTTTCTTTACTTACTGTTTTTAACGATCATTTTCCCGACCGAATCGTCCACAGTTTTACAATCCTTTAACTTTTCTTCCACTTGCTCGTCTTTTACTTTTAAATCTCTCATTGTTTTTAGAATAATAACAAAAAACTTAACAAATCTGAAAATACTCCTTGTTCAATGTAGAAATCTGGAAAGTTTGCTCGAGGAGGAAACGAAAGTTGATTGGATGTTAGCTGAAAATCGTCACAAGGGAAAGTCCCTTATGAATATGAATTAATGACGTACAGTAGTATGAACCAATCATATTCTTAACTATCGAAAATGTTGGAAGTTCCGGGTTAGGTCATGTTACTAATTTTAACTCCTATTTTCCGAAAAGATGCGATTGTAGTGTTCGGTTATTTCCGTAGCAAGGGAGAGAAATGCGGATTTTTATAAACGGTGATAATTTTGTTCTCCCCCTTATATAAAAATGTTCACATAAATCTTAGATTTTTAAGTAATAGGCGCTTGTAAAGAAAAACAAATGAGTTAAAAAGAAAGTATAAATATTTTGTAAGTTAGTTTTAGTATTATGGGAAACACTTACATACATGAACACTTGGTGTGTGGAGCTCCAGACGCCTTAAATTCCAAATAAAGTGTATATATATAGTATTTGTCAATCCAAACACATAAAATAATCAACTATATCATTATAACATTCTTGAACAAAACTTTAATGTTTTCATCGTTCAATAGTCTACTGTACTCATTCTAGTGAATTTATAAAAAATATTTTTTCTAAAGAAGAAGAAGAAGAAGAAGAAGAAAAAGAAGAAGACGAAAAAACTAAGCTCTCTGGCTTTAATTTATCCAATGAAAAATAATGATACATTAAAAAGTCATACAAAACGATATATTCCCATCGTGCCAGTAGACGAGTTTTTGTTTGTTTCTTTGTTTTTAACTATGTTGAATTCCAGCGAACATAAATTAACTTTAACACCAATTTTACTTTGCGCGCTATAATACATGTACATGCAATTTAGGTACAATTCAGGCCGTCTTCCATCTGGGACATAAGATTATCTTATGTCCCAGCTTCCATATATAATTCATATAAATTCATATAATTTGCACCATTTAAGTTGCTAGTAACGCAGTGGTAATAAATGAATTCGATAAATTAGGGGGTACATGTGCACATTCTATTGCATTGAGGTCAATAGTCATTATGCTGAATCGTACCACTTCTGTAGATGTTAGGTACATACTTCTAAAACAATTCATTGCTCAGTCTGATAAATTTGTTTACTTAACGTATTGTTATATTGTATGTTGGTTATATTTTAAAAGGCAGAGTATCACAACCCGCTTTACAGTGTCGGAAGCTGAGAAATACATTTGTATATTAAAAGATGATAGTCCAAATTAAAATCTTGCTTAATTTTACCGATGATGTATCATGTACAGGACAAAGATTGAAACAGTTTGATATTAGAAGCTAAAATCGTTTAAAATCACACCTCCGATGTTTGACGGAAAGAGCCGAGCGTAAAAGTTGCCATTGGCTAATCAGAACACAGTGAACAACCTGAAGAGTCCATAATCTTTGACTTTAGGAATTAAAAATGTACCGGTAACCCTTGTTATATAAACCATGTGCTATAGTTTTGAATTGTATCCTGCGAAATAAGATTATATCTCATGTAAATGTATTTTAACCAAATTTGACTGACATAATATGACATCTGATCCGCGTGTTGTTCAATAGGTATATAGCCACATATACAAGTTAATAATTCTGAAATGTTCCACAGCTACATGTATACGAGATCTACAGTTTCGAGTACAAAATCTCATTTTCTTGTTCTGCATTGTTTGAAGCTTATTTGTCAAAAACCTTTGTCAACCCAGGGTAAAAGGTAGAAAATGAATAATAAAAATGAATAAATTTTTCTGTAAACTGGCATTGACCGTTTAATTGAAGAATGCTCAAAATCTTTATCACGTGTTGCATGAAATATGTAAACTTTGTAATTGTACCAATACACGTGACCTGAAGGAAATTTGGAGCCAAAAGAATAGATTTTGTATCATTGTATGCATCAAATATATAGCTGGCAAGAAAAAAATAATGAGTCAGCCATTATTGTAAAATACATGAATTGATGTAAGAATCTTATGAGCCTATCGTGGATCAGAAAACAGCAATATGTGTCTCATACTTTCATAAAATGACCTCATGTCTGACATGCAAAATTTAATATTAGGAATGGGCACAGCTTACCAAAGAATAGAACATTATTGGGAACACTCCGGAAGCTTGGTGTTCACTTCATAGTTTGAAGGAATTCAAAAATGTTTTTAATAACAATCCAGACATAACAGAATATTGAAAAAAGTTGTTTCATGAATACTTGGCAAACAGAATCGCCCGAAACTGGGAATAACACAATTTTCTACATCAGCAACGCTATGCAAGCTGGCTTCTGGTAACCCAGATGTTATATATTTTGTTCCTGAACTGACCGTTTGGTTTCAATCTGGACGATGTGAATATATGTATACGATTGTATGGAGAAGTAAAAGCCATGCCATGAAGACATTAAAGAAATTGTTAATATTATAACACATATTGTTTCTATGCCTGTCCATCTTTATGATGCGTTATAACTATTCTGTATGGTGGTTAATTTGGAACGCTTTTTGGCGTTTGGCGCTTTGTCCTGCTGTCGCTAGCGGCAACACGAGGCACAAAAGCGTTCAAAATCAGCCAACATAATTCTGAGCTCAACAATATTTTGAATGGGTGCGTATAGATTGGTTTAAACATATTTTATTCGATATACAATGTATTTACATTATGATAAACAATATTTACACAATACATTTGGGATTGCGCATAAAGCTATGAAAGGATTGGGCATAAAGCTATGAAAGCTTATGAGTGTCCTGTCCCAGTTTAAACAATTTACACATATACAGTTCATGGCATTAACATGCACAAAATTCATTTAGTTGAAAATATATCAAAGACATGTTCAAAAAAGAAAGTATTTTGCAATTAATAAATACTTAACCAAATGGTCATGAGAAAAAAAAAATGCAAAAGAAAAATGAAACAAAATGGAGGTAAAAAATCAATGATTATATGAAAGAGATTAATTTAGTTAAAAGTCGCCGTTTAATTTTCACCTAGGAATGTGCAATCACAAAGACAACTGTGTTTTAACGGAGACAAAAGAATGTAATAAAAATCTGAATTATAATAGTTATAAAGTACAATTATGCAATTACGAAATAAACAAACTACCAGCTAATATCGACAAAAAGCAAAAAAAAAAAAAAAAAAAAAAAAAAAAAAAATGAGAAAGAAAAGGAGAAGTGGATGAACAAAAATAGAGCAGTAGGAGTAAACAAAGATGCATTATATAGTAACTATACATGTATGTTTAGATGTAACAAGTGTAAGTAAGACTTGGGGTATGCGCTAAAAGCGCTTCGTTTCTCGGATGTATTTTTGAGTTAAGTTTTGATCAAACGCTTTGCTTTTATCACGAAATACAGTTCTGACCTCCTTACCAGAATCAATGGCCTGTGCAAAAATATTATATAAATATGTTAATTCCATGGTTGACAGTGGAGTCTCCGGGAACAAAACCAGATTGAAGAGATGTGATATTGTTGTTAGATCTCAGAAAATTAAACGTGTGTTTAAATAAAAGTTTAAATATAATTCTTTCAAAGACTTTGTTGACAGTACTAATTAGGGATAATGGGTCTGTAGTTATTAACTAAAGAAGGATCACCCGATTTAAAGATAGGAGAAACATTAGCTTCTTTCCATGCATCTGGAACTTGAGCAATCTGAATAGAATAGATAAAAAAGAGCACTTAAAGGACAACTGAGTTCATGGGAGAGTTCGTGAAGGATTCGATTGTTGATATCGTCAGGACCAGCGGCTTTTCCCAAAGGAAGAGATTTTGATTCTACTTCCACCTCGCCTGGTGTTATATTTATATCATCCAGATGGTTAGTAACGTTAGGTAAATCGGGGAGACGGGGAGCTTCACTTTCATCAATGAGTGACAAAAAAGTCGTTTATAAAATTGGCCTTTCAACGTTGTCAGATATGATAATTTTGTCGTCAGAAGTAAGTGGTGGTATTGAGGTAGAATATGAAGGTTTGATAAATGATTTAAGAAGAGACCACCAACTTTTTCAAATTTATAAACAGTTATATTGGACAGGGATACCTGACATCTTGCTGGAGAAAAGGATCGCCAACACCGCTAGTATGAATCAGATAGTTGTTAGAAGTAAATATAAGGTCAATTACTGACAAAGAAGAAGATTCAGTAAAGTGTGTAGGTGAGTCAATAATCTGATGCAATGATAACTGGCAACATATATCTCTGATTTTCATAGAAGAAGTACTGTGCGCTACATTTAGGTTAAAGTCGCCTGTCTTTAAGATATTAAAATCTATACCTGTATCAATAGCTAGATGCATAGAGTCTAAAATCAAGGCATGATGGGCATTGTCTATGTTTGGGGGTCTACAGAAAACTCCGAATAAAATATGTTTGTTTGAAAAGACAATTTCTATCCAAATGCATTCAGTTCAATTAATTTCAAGATCATCGCGTCTTTTGTACTGGATGTAATCCTTAACATAAAGTATAATACCGCCGTGGTTATCGGCACGATCTTTCCTTTCGGGATTAGCAAAAGAGTGGAGAAAGAGATTAGAAGTTAAATATGTGGGCCAAGCCAAGTTTCTGAAAAGCAGAGAATATCCAAATCCTTAAGCTCGGTGTAAATAATGTCAAATTTTTGGGCAATGCTCTGGACGTTGTAATGAACAAAAGAAAGGTTTCGAGAAAGATCAATAAACTCATTATCAGAGGAAGCCGATAATACTAAAGACGCACTGGATACCGGTCCTGGGTTTTTTATGAACATCATTCACCCGATAGTTAAGTATGAACAAGCAAGAAAAGCATTACGATGGAATAGACTACAATGGACGAAAAGATCAAGTTGGAGTGCTGTTTCTTAAGCCCCTGTCACACTAGGACGGCGTTCTCACGGCGTCCAAAGAAATTTCAGCACGCCGAGGTGAGCGCAGTAAGATCGCAAACATCGCCGTAGCATCGCCGCAGCATCGCAGTGGCATCGCATGGAACGCCGACTGACGGCGCGCATTTTGAACATGCTCAAAACA